TCTATTTCACATCTTAAACCATGGTACCCAAATAACATGTATTCATGGTCATTTAAATATAAGCCAAGCTACAATGCTTACACTCCCCCTCTCTTACCAGGAGTTAACTGGATAATGACATCACCTTTTATGGTATGAATCTGCTTTAGCAGGTGACAAATGGCCACTTTCTGTTTAGTGATTTTATGTTAATTGAACTCCATGATCATAATATTTATTTCCATATTTTCAGATCAGTGACTGAGAAGGTACTAGTCATTGACAACTTTGTTTGAATAAAACTGGTAATGCTCATTTTTAAAAGAGTGATTTGATGGACATTTTGGAGCACTTTTAGGTATTACTATTTCCTGGAGACTAGATGCTGTTTTAAATACAAGTTTTTGAGCTTTTATTAGTGTTTCAGTTCCCATAGAAATGAGTTGCTTGTGAAACTGAGTCATAAGTACGAACGTCAAAAGATCATCTATACAGAAAAAAAAAGGAAGATAAACAGCACTGCTTCCTTTTTAGCTAATGAAACTCTAGTCACGCATCTCTCAATGAGAGGCCTAAAAGCAAAATGAAAAGAAAATACTCCTATCCACTAGCAAATAGTGCTAATCATATTTTTCACTCTTGGTTTCCTGGATCCATGATGATTTGTGAAAATGTCCTATCCCCATGGAAAGAGGGGGTAGAGAGGAAAGGAAAAATATGAGAAAAAAAGGAAAACAAGTAGAAGGAAAAAGCTGAAAAAAGAACAAAAGCTCAAAGCAAGTATACAGATGTTTGTCCTTTTGACAAGGAAAAAATACCTGGCTAGCAAGCTGTAGTCACTCAGTCACATTTGGTGATACAAAAGAAAACTTCCATCTTATAGAAAAAAAGAAAGAAAGAAATATCAAAGTCAGAATTATTTTGTCAGAATCCTCTTAGGTTTTTCTGACATTGGCCTAGACCAATGGTTACAAAGATGTACTCAGTAGTAAAAGAGAACTTGAATACATTCAACACCAATCAGGAACTGTGACTTCACCAGGTGTTAGAAAGACTTCTCACTGCACAAGTAGTAATCTTTTCTGGCATTTTGGAGCACTATAGATTTCTATATTGGCATCTAAGCAGTAAGGAGATTGGTCACATTAGATTTGAAGTCTTCTGTCTTCAATCCCTTGTCTACTGTTGCCCTACTGTGCAGCTGTGAAAATATTCAGGACAAGCTATAGTCTTCATTCTACTCCTTACAAGTTTGAATATGTAGGTGATTCAAACAGGCTTGTTTTATATTCCATTCAAGTTCTGAGAGTTGTCTAGACTGGTGGCTATATTCATAACCCTCTGTTTACCTTAGCTGTTTGTTTTCTGTCTGAAACCTATCATTTTTCCTCTGTTTTATATTCCATTACTCTCATTCTTTTGCTAACAATAATAATCCCTGAAACTGTTTCTTACCTTCCTTTCCTTTGTACATATATTCAGTCAATAACAATAACAAAACTCCAACTATTTGTACCTTTATTTTCATCTGTTATTTCTTCAGTGTCATCTAACCCAGGTGGTCACCAAGAGGCAATTACTGAGAAACTCGACAAAAAAAACCCTCCAAGGTTGGGAGAACAGGCAGAACACTGCCTTCTGAAGTTTGCTGCTCTGCAGGGACCATGCAGCTCTGAACAGCACATTTGTCCCATTCTAATCTGTACCATCCCCCAGAATGCACACCTATCTTTTTTAAGTAGGTTTGGCAAGTGACAGCCTGATCACAGCAATCTAAAATGGCTTAAGTGCCACAGGTTGACATTTTGCATTCTTTTATTGCTTTCCATTTTTATCTACATAGAAAAATTGGTGATAACTAATATCCAGTTGATCTTTTCATTCTGGTAATAAAATGATAATACAAAGATCTTATTATCCACCCCAGACATCCATCAAGGTACATTTTCCAATAACAACACTATTTAGAATGCTGCTTATCTCTTTCTAAGTCAAAGTGAGATTAAGTATTTTGGCTTTAGATTCCCTTTTGTCTCTAGGATTGGTGCTTTGTGTTGTAAAAAGACTTTGAACTTCAACCCTTGACATTTTGTCCACGTTAATATCTTCTGCAATTTTGTTTTTTAGGCATCTTCGATGAATCACTTGATGTGATAAGCCAAATGCAGCTGAAAGTTGTGTCTACTAATGTAATTGCCTTAGCTCCAGAGAGGTTTAATTCTCATATGGAAACAAGAAGGAAGGGAACAGAAGAAAGCATAGAAAAGAGACAGAGAAAGTAGTAGGAAGGAGGAAAGAGCAGGGAAAGAGAGGAGACAAGCACAGAGCACAAACAGAAAGGCAAAAGAAAGCAAGTAGAGCAAAGACCCTGCATTTATTAAAATCCATTTCTCCGGCTGGGAGATAGTCCAGTGAGTGAAGTGCTTGCAGGCCAAGAAGGGGAACATGAACTTGGGTCTCTGCAGGCAGTGTTCATGGTCCCTGCACAGGGACCTGGAAAGAGTGGGGCACTAATTAGTAAGGCTACCCAGTTGTTGAGCCCTAGGTTTAGTGATAGATTCCATCTCAAAAGAAAGAAGGTAGAAACTACAGAGAAAGAGAGCTGGCATTAACCTCTACCTTTTGAAAGGGACTGAACACTCCCCTCTTTCCTTTTCTCCCCATCCCCTACACACACACACACACACACACACACACACACACACACACACACACACACACACACACACACTCCATTACTCTAATGGTTTCATTTCTTCTGGTAGGCAAGAAGAACATTCTGTAATATGCCACTAGTATGGAAAAACTTTGGGTGAAAACAGGTGAATGTCATTTGGGATGTAAATTCCCAACTAGCTGAAAATTTGGCTCATCTTCATGAAATTCACTAATTCACTACATCTACCCACTATCCCCAAGTAAAACAAAGGCAAAAAAAAAAAAAATGAAAACATTACCTGGTCATTTACTGTTTCTTCCAGTGACTACTGTCAAGCTAAAGCATTTGCAGTCCTGTCCGAGGTATGCACTGAAAACTTAAGATCCACTCACTTAATTCAAGTATTCAAGTGTAATTTATACTACTTTAAAAAGGGGGAAAATTGGCTGGGCACTGGTGGCATACGTCTTTAATCCCAGCATTCGGGAGGCAGAGGCAGGGAGATCTCTGTGAGTTCAAGGTCAGCCTGGTTTCCAGAGCAAGTGCCAGGATAGGCTCCAAACTACACAGAGAAACCCTGTCTGGAAAAACCAAAAAAAAGGGGGGGGGGAATCACTAACCAGTGCAAATCTTTGTCTTCAAAGTTGTTATTCTATGAAATACGCAAAGTATATGTCTACAGTACCATATTGCTAGAGCATCATAGCAGCCAACGAAGACTTGGTCTAAGACTAGTATGTTTATTCAATATATGTCCTAAATAATTGTACCTAAGGAACAGGGAATCACATTTGACTTGGTTAATCCATTGTCAGAGTGTATGCTTTTAATTTTGCAACTTTAAAAGTTAATGCTTTATTCTGGGGTTAATATAAATAAAGTAAAAGAAATGCATAATGGGGAGGTGTAGACTTGAGTATTTTCCCCACATGAATTTCCTACAATTCAGCAGGAATCAGTAAACTCTATTGTTGGATTAAGGCATGAATTTACCTTTGAAGACAGTACTTTGTGTACTGCCAAGTCAGCTGTGTTTGTACTTCTGGGTACCAGGGCATTGAATCTATAAAACAAACCTATGAAAGCTATAAAATTCCCTTTCAGGAAGCTATCCAAGAGAAGAATTGGAGCAGAGCTGATGCACACTCGAAATTACATTTGTTAAAGCACAGAGAGATAATTTTTAGGAATTTTTGGGTTTGATCATTTTTAAGTACTTGGCATGGTTGGCTGTGGTTTATAATTCAATGTAATGTTCATTCCATGATTTATCAGACTCACCTTTCTTAGGACAAATATCAATTGCTTGTGTTCAAACCCAAGAGCATGTAATCATATGCATTTACTAGAGAAGTTATTTTGGTTTTGCAATTTTTTTCCCTCAAAGAATGAGTTGTTGCTCTTTGGAAACACAGCCAAATATTTTTTGGAAGTCCCACCAACTCACAGGCAGCAGTCTTCCAGGGCCAGAGACCGAAATCTTACTATGGCATTGAGAAATTAGAGGTGTGTTAGAATCATTTTATTAAGTTGTTAATGAATTTGTGGTCATTGGAATAGCTTTTGATATGTGGTCAGCAAAACCTGGAAAAGAAACATCTAAGCATTCACATATAAAAATGGAATATATTTACTTCTTACTTAATGCTGGAACTCAAAATAAAACCACAGTCCTTATGTACTTTCAGATCTCCTTCCAAATTCAGATAAAACCCAGTCCATGCATCTTTGTGACTCATCATTTGGCATGCATATCACATTTGAATGGTTCTAGTTATTTTTGTAGATATATGTCAGGATGTAAAAATTCATCAGGCAAATTTTCTTAATAATCAAGAATGAACTCTTCAGGCTCATCGATTTTTCTGAGAAGGTAGGATGGTGAAGAACACACTATGTCTTTGTAAATCTTTGTATGGATTTAGAAGGATGATTAATAATTCTCAAAATAAGAGAAGTTAAACATTTCTTTTATATATTTGAGTTAAGTGATAGAAATAGAAGGAAATAGGGCTTGTGGTATTTTCCCCTATTTAATAATGAAGGGAACTACTGGATTCCAAATTCTGACCAAATACCAGTGCCTCTATAACCTCTATAGAAGGCTGTACCTTCTGTTTCAAAATATGTGCTGCCTGTTTCCCACATAGGAGTAGAAATTACAGTGGAAAACTTTTGGACGGATTAAATAGAAAATGAATTTTTACACCCTAGATGATGGACTGGTATGACTCAAGGTGAGATCCTGAGTTTTATAAATACATTTGTCTTACTCTTTTTTTTCTCTCTCTCTCTCTTTTCCTTGACTAGCTTACATTGTAATGGAGGAAGAACAGTTGAAAAATTTTGAATAGGCACTTACTGGAATTACAGTTAATCCTGATACAATCTAGATGGGGAAGAATAGATGAAAAATGAATATTTATCCTTCAAGGTAATAGCTGCAGACATCCAATAAAATTACAGTCCACCCTTCCGGGGACAGACACATGCAAATTTGGCCACTCCATATCATTATTCTCTATATACTTCTAGAACCCAGATGTATTGTTATAAAATTGTACTATTGTAAACAAGAGAATGTTTAAAAACATGGCCAATTCAAACAGAGCTACATGGTGACAAATCTAAGTGAGATAACAAGTAGTTAACTGTCAAAGATGCTTGATTCAGACTGGCTGCAACATCCTCCCCATATGTGAAAGAACATACTATCTTTGTAACAAAACTTAAAAGTGCTCCGTCACAATGGGGTACAGTGCAAGCTCAGCTAGGCTCAGACATCTTGGACCTCCAAAATCTAACATCCCACAAAGGCTGACAGAATTCTTCACAATGTCAGTAGTCAAACGGAGAAAGAAATTAAAGGTATTCTTTCTCACTCTAGTACTTTTCAAAATATATTTCTCTTTTGATTTTGATTTGATTTTCCGGGGCACACAATGTTTACAACCAGATGTTAGTGGATTCCACACTGAAGGAAAAATGAAACAACTGCATGAACCCTTAGGAATTACAATGGCTGTGGAGGAGCCAGCCATCCTGTAGCACATAGGCCTATGCCTTTCTTAGTTGCTACCAATGCTGTCTTTATGCATTGAGGACCACAGTTAACAGTACATTACTGATTTTTCTTTTTTGGTGTGTGCTTGCTTCACATAAAAGCAGCCATAAAAACAGAATGTCTGGTGTGGATAACACAATGGTTACTTTTAAAGATCTTCATGGAACATTTTGATTCTATTTTATGGAAAGATGAACACAATTCTGGCTTTTGCTGTATTATTTAATGCCTTTGGGGAACATGGAAAATATAAACCTAGATTCTGTGTCCATATAGCTAAGTTTGTCATGTGTCGTCAACCGCATCAGAAAAGTGGTTGCAAACAGCCAAGGACCAGCAGCTACACAACTCCTTCTACAGAATGCTTTGCTGCTGAGAACTCCTCTAAATACTCTTCATTTTGAGCCATCAGCCTCTTAGTGCAATTAAGCCATGTATGCCGTTTTCTTGTAGTAACCTATCATTGTCACTAGAGGGAACTCTAACAGAACAGTAAATGGTAGTGTGCATGTGTTTTAAACAACCTTGTTTAACTTAATTTAACTTGTATTAATTGAATATAATTAAATGCAATAAGCTAGAGAGAGTTACTTTTCTATTTTTATGAGCTACCATTCTACCCACCACAATTTGAAAATGTAGGTAGGATTGTCACAATTGTCACATGGTGTTTTGTTCTAATCATCTTTCTAAAAATACATCATTTCAAATTCTGTTTTTCTTTTTCTCCTTCTCCTGATTCATTGTGCGTGCGTGTGTGTGTGTGTGTGTGTGTGTGTGTGTGTGTGTATGTGTGTCTGTGAACACATGCATATGAACTCATGTGTATGTATTTAATACTGTTGTGAAGTACAGTAAAACCTCATGTAGTTTTGCTTATTTGGATTTAATGAAAATATTGAAAATTATTGGACAGAATACTAAATCTTCACTTGTACAGAGGCATTTTGGGGAGAGAACATGGGAATAAAGAAGATTTTGAAAGGCCACGCTCAGGTAGAAGACTAACTTCAGGATTCAGTAGAAGTTGATAGCAGAACTGGCAGGTAACATGAGGGAGGGACCGTCCTTCTCTATTCACTGAAATACACTTCCAAGTCCATCCCTTCAGCAGATTTCACAGCTTATATTAATTTGAGGTTAAATTTAACTAAAAAATAATAAAGTGCTCAGCTTTTAAAATTCTACAATCCACTTTTTTCTTAGTTTGCTTTATTTGTACTCCATAATTCATCTAGATGGGTGAGGTTTTACTGTAGCAACTCTTTCTGGAGGTACACATAATCAGGAAAGCATTATCTCTCTGTAAAGGAGCCTGTGTCCTTACTGTTCTCATGGCTGTTTGCTGAGGGCCGCAGACTTTGGGCATTGAAGGGTTGTGGATTGCTGAATGACAGCAAAATATCCCACACAGTACTTCCAAACAGAAGAGATGGAGGAACACAAAGACGATTATTCAAAGGAGAAGCCCACGGAGGAAGCAGGAACAACCATTGGTCTAGCTGCTAACTATAAATGGAATATTTTGTGTGCATGTTATGTAACACATGCAGGCCTTATTTATTTATTTATTTATTTATTTATTTATTTATTTGTTTGTTTGTTTGTTTGTTTTGTAAGGGTGTCATCCATCACCCATTAGAAAGTCCATAAATATAAAAGGGAAAGAAATCCAATTTGAGACATATTAAAGCCTCATAATTCAAAGTTGTGAAAGGCATCTCACTGATAGGGCTTCCCCGAACCCTCGTTGGTAGGATTCACAAAACACTAAATTATGTTGAACATAAGAAGTGATGCCCGCCAAAGCGTTATTTAGTTGCTTTGACTTTCCATAGCAAACAGGCTAGGGGATAAATGTTGGCAGGCACAACCGAACACGAAGTGAGAAGTGTCAGCTTAATGGCGGAAGGTGTAGTGTTACCTAGATTGACCGTGAGTTTCACACGCCCCGCATCCAGCTCCAGTCGAAGGGTATCGGCAGAGTCTCTAGAAGTGGTCGCCATCAGAATTCCATATGCACGCTGTGATCTGAACCGTAAAGACACGTCCTCAGCTTCAGTGTGCATCACCACCGGGAGCTGAATTTTCATGAACATACTCCCATCGTAGCTCAAAACTGTTGCTTCTATGGGAGAAAATGGATACAGTTCCGTTTGGGTTAGTGTGATGCATGCACGCTTGAGGTTTTCTTGATGGACACTGATGGCTACATCAGCTCATCTGCTTCAGAAATGAGTTTTTTGTTTTGTAATGGCAAGGGACATACTTGCAGAGACTCCTTCATTTGACAAGTACATGCTAACACCTAGAAAGCCCCTCTACCTATAGCATATACTATTGCACTGACCATATGGGGTCATAAATATTTTATATACATTTCCCTTGTGAAAGCATAGGTTATACTCATTTGAAAAGCTGAAGTCTACACCTGGTTGGAGACAGTGCGATGATGCATGTGTGTATGGACACTGAGGATGCCGACCATTCTGTAACATTAGTCAAACTTGCCTCAACTCTGATTATTCATGAGCAAAAGCCCAAGGGGTGTTAGCAGAAGATATCTAAAGCCAGGCCTGTCTGGAGAACGCGTGGATAAACAGAAACTACTATCAATATGTTTTCATACTGTCTACTCTAAAGTGGAAATATCGCACAAATGTAGACCTTATCCTCTCTACCAAAGTTAATATTGCAAAGAAGAAAATAAAAATTTACAATGTGTCACCGAATAGGGATGGGGTAGAGACAGAGATTTATGTGGCGATGTGTTTCTAAATTAAGGTACATGGGAGTCACAAACACACAATAAAATCAGTAGCAAAAATGTTGATGATAGACTGCTTCAAGAAACAATGGTATTTAACACCATTCGGTGCTGGGACATAGAGAAGCAGGTGTGAGACATGTTCCTTCTGGGGATTCAAAATGCCATTTAATTTCCAGGTAGAAACTACCTGGAATAAAAAATAACCTGAAAAATTCCTATCAGTCTTGGCTATTTACTCAGAATAGCCATTAACTGTATTGGTGCCATTGTGTTCATTGCTAAGATTATATTCTGGTGTGGCTTTCAAAGTTCATCTTTCAGAAAGTCTGGACAGTCAAGTACTGTTTCCAAGAGACTTCAATTATTGTTTGTTCTTGTTCAAGGCTTGAATGTGAAGCCAGTTTCTCTAAGCATTGCATTCTGTTTCTAGGATTTCCTCCATCCTCTGCTGCTTGCACACAGCCTTGGATAAATGGATCTTCAGCAACCTGTGAGCTCTCTTCCCTCTTCTTCCTGAGTGAAGACTTCTTCATCTATTGCCTATTTGACACTTCCAGTTAAAAATGGAATTATAATGTCACTCATAATTAGCCTTTCTCCAAATGAACACATTCCAAATGTGATCCTCTAGTCCCTTCCCTTTACTGAGATCAGTAAATGATGTTTACATATGTCCAAGACAAACCCTGTAGCTTTCTTTCTTACTCTCTCTGCCAAATGTAGTCTATTTTCATGTTTACAGACCTTCATGTTATAATTTTTTAAATCTCAGTTAATGGCTTTTTAACCTGTGTAGCTAATATATTTTAATTCCTATTCTCATCTTACCTAGATAGCTTAAAAAGTTACCTCTGTGTTATATTTATGTCTTTCTTTCTGCACACAACAGCCAAGTTGAACCCTTATACAGAGAAACCCTCCCTGTTAGGTCATGTCTCTACTTTTCTTTTGCAATTAGAATCTCTCTACCCTCAGCTACTATAATCATTCTCTCCAGTTAATCTATTTCACCCATTCCAAGTCTGTTCATTATTAAAACATTTGCACAGAGTAGTTATGCATATTAATTAACCAGAAGAAAACTAATAATTGTTTAGTCTTTTTATTTGTATGTATTTATATGTATGTATTTGTATGGTAGTCTTTTTATTTGTATGGTGCCTGTATACAGAAATGTCTCACCCTACATCTAATAATGTTTGGTTCTTTCGGGAGGCTGAATTTTGGTGAAATGTTCTGCTGGACAACATGGCTCCCTCCTCAATTTATTCCAGATTGAAGTATCAAGTCTGCTATTTTCAATTGCAATTTCTCATTTGTTGTGCAGTATCAGCTGCATCTGCCCTTTTGAAAGTGCCCCGCAGAAGCAGACCCGGACGCTCACCACTCTGTCACCAATGAGCAACTGAGCCAGACACAGTTGAGACACCACACCATTAATGCTTCTTGAATTAGCAACTGCCATCTACACTGAAAGCACATGGAAAAACTCTTCTGCACGTGGATACAAAGTTTGCATAAGCACTGCACAGAGCAGTAAAGCATTCATTATGTCTAATGCCAGGGAAATCATGTTTGGTAATTCATGGCAAAAAAATAATTTCAAGTCTAATTTGAAGGTTAGATTAGAAAAAGGCTTTCATTTATCCAAATACCCTGTTGGTAGTCAAAGACCTAATAGCTGAGAAAATAAAATATGATGATAAAATATATGACTTTATCTTGTGTCATCAAGTTTCAAATTAAATAAGAGATTTCTCCATGACACAATGTTGGACAAGATAGCAGTCAATATAGATAGCCAGGCAGTAGCTGCCTAAGGAACAATTAAATAAGACTATAAAGTCGTAATGAGCTATAAAAGGGTTTTGATATAATTCTAAGTGAAATTTGATACTTATTTCCCCCTTCTAATCTTTGGTCAATTATGCAAAGTAACATATAACTCAGTAAAAATAACAAATCATCATACATTGTTTGTTACTTTGCTATCATACAAATAAAAAGACTAAACAATTATTAGTTTTCTTCTGGTTAATTAATATGCATAACTATTTTATAATAATCGTATTTTAAATAACTTCATTTTCCCTTAAAAACTGCTTAATTTGAAAACCAAGTGGAGGACACATCTTTTTAGAAATATATAATTCACAATTCGTCATAAATATATTGTGCCGTATAATCGATCCAGAGTGGAGGGGGGTAATCAAGCTCATTAGCCTTTCACCATTCTCCCAAAAGCTTCAGGAGTGAAGCAATAAAACTCGAGGGCCCCCATGTGCCATTTCAAACGATTCTCAATGTGAAGATAACTTGTTGATAAACGACAACTGAAAGCCTAAATGATTCCTCATAATTAGAGTTGATGTTTAATTAGGCAAGAAATGGAAAATGCAGGAGGTTATAGTCTAGAATGTGCCAAATAAATGTTAGACAACATTCTGACATTTGAAGGTTATGCTATTCAGCAGCATCTTTTAACATTTGGAAAAATTATTTTATCATTTGCAACAGTAAAAAGAGTCCTTTAGAAGGGTAATTCTAAGACACTCCTTCCCAGTGAGGAAGAAAAAGTTTCAAATTTGTCTTCTGTATCTCTTTCTCCCTTGTCATTAGCTTTGATGAATTTGCTTCTTTGCATTGTTCCTCCTTGCAGTCTGAAGTGTACACCTGTGCTCAGTTTTGCTGAGAGGCAGTCACATATTGTGATCAACAATGGAAATCAGACAGGGAGCCAAATTATATGGCTCTGACATCTGTCCCTCCATCTGTTAGAATTTTGACAAACAAGTACGAAGTAGACCTCTGATTACACCAATGCTCTAATTTCACATTAGCCCTAAGAATAAATTTTTAAGTGATGTAACCTTCAAAACTCATATTATTAAAAACAGTACATGAAGAAACTGCAATGTTCATTACCTACGAAGGACATCTTTTCAGTATTCGTCTTTCTTAAAGAATCAATAGGCACAGAGTAAAATACCTTCCTGTTTAAGTCACAGATATTTTCCCTTATGTAATTTCCTTTGTTTGTATAATGGGGATGTGGGATGACGGCAGCACCGTTCTCTATGGTGCTCTATCAAGCAGGCTCTATCAAGTTTTTTGAATGTTGAAACAGAAACTTGTATAACTATCTTGTTATCTCAAGAATTGATCAACAACCTCAAGTGGTAGGAACGTATCTGGAGAAGAGACACAGCCAAACACTTCCTTTGGAATTTGAAGCTGAGAGCTCCAGGCATGATCCCGTGCTTGTGGAACTAGGGCACAGCTGAGAACTGGACAGAGGTAGCATTCTGTGCCTTTGAGCATGGCATTCATCTCATATCACCCTTGGTCTTAGAAGGGGCACAGTCATGTGAGCCAAGCATTGATTCAGAAGAGAAAATACATCTTGCAAGATGCTATTGCAGTTCAGAACAAGAAGAGCATGATATCACCATTTCATCCTCAAGGAACCACTGACTTAGAGACAAAGAGATCTGCAGAAATCTCCAGCTAAGCATAACTTACAAATGTATGCTAAGTCCCAGTGATGACATTTGCTATTGCATTCTCATTTGAAATCTGTAAGTGCTTTCCACCTCTACCTCTAATTATTGCAGTATATAAATATTCCCTTTCTCCCCTTCTGACTCAGGGAGCTCGATCATTTCATTTTGCCATATGTAGTAGCTCAGTATTGCCACAGGGTGGTACACCATGCATATTTAACTGGAGGTTTTTTTGTTTTGTTTTGTTTTGGCTTTTTTCATAAACAGTGGAGTTACAGACTTTCTCCAGCTACACTTTAACCAAGAGGCATCAGGATAACTGGAATTTTCTGAGTGATTAAAAGGAAAACAAAATTTTAATTCACACAGGTCTGCTAATCTCATGTTGTGCCTAGCTGTATTTTACTTTTGTGAGCTATGTCATGTGTTCCTCTCTTTTGGCAGTTTTCCAAAGGCAGACTAAACAAACTAATTAGGAAGGAAAAAGCAAAAAGGGGGGAGCTGTTATGAAGAGTGTACTCATACAAGCCACAGTAGCAGGAAGAGCTAGACTCTAATGTCAGTCCACAGGATTTACAATAATCAGGTAATACCGTAAGGGGGATCCTGTGTCTCCATGAGGTGAAGTAATCTATTGACCTGTTCTAATTCTATTATACAGATTTAATTTTGAGCTTTATAAATGCCCACCTTTTCCTATGGAATTTTTAGGTCAAATTAAGTAAGCTCTTTTAGGACTGAAGGAAAGGAACCAACTATGCATGACTTTATGAGAAGTGCTTGGCGCTACTCAGGTTGAGCTCCTCGGGAAGAAATGCTGTTTGCACCACAAGAAGACTATGGAGCAACTCATCAATAGTTTTTTTTTTTTCAAATTGATTTTTAGTTTCACTGTAGAAAGTAAGTGACAATGAGCATAGTGACTAAACCATTCATCTAATGATCTGGGTCGATGAAGGGCATGCTTGTAACCATTTGTTCTGGTATTTCTTCTGTTATGCTGGTCTCCAGACCAGCTGTTGGCACCACCCTCACTCTGTTTTCAATATTCATTGCTCTGCTTACAAGGGGAGAGGAAGAGAAAAATAGGCAGCTTCATTTTTTTTTTCTTTTTGCTTAACAAGGAAAAAGAGTTGCCTACACAGAGATCACGTAGAAGCAATTAAGCCTTAACATTAGATACGTAAGTACATCTGTGATCAATTAAAGACCGGACAAACAGGGCAGCAGTTATGAATTAGACATCACAGGCACACTTTATAAACTGCGGGTACCCACAATCAGGCCCTCTGAAAAACCACTAAAGGCTCCTCAGTCACCTATGTCACTTCTTGGGGTTCTGACTGTGGGTTACTTCACTAGAAGTCGTTATGTTTTCAGTTCAGGCTTGATGGACATTTAATAAACATTTCTTCCAGAGACTCCATTGCTAGCGTTTTGAAATCCTACCTCTCTCACAGGACCTGCCGAGATACCCTGTTCCAGAGCAATCACAGACGTATCTGTTCCAGCCATCCCTGCACATGCCGTTGTTTTTGCAAGGATTGCTAAGGCACGGTTTTGCTGTCTCCCTCGAGCAGGATGGCTTCACTCCAGCCGTGCTCTGAATTTCCGCCATCTGCCGGATGTCTTTGCTCTGGCCATCAATGAACAGATCCCGGATGCAGCCCACGTAGCCATAGTTGAGCAGAGCAGTCCACACCTCGGTGGGGAAGACAAGGCCAGCCTTATTTTCTGGCAAGCCACCCAGATACAGCTCATCATCCAGGTCCAGGATCTCACTCTCGCCAGGAGCTGTGTAAGGAGTGCGCAGTGTGTTGACAGAAATGGTACCTGTTACAATGACAAGAGAACATGAAGTTGTTTGTGCGTACAATGTGGTCTGGGCATCTCCATTTTCCTCTTCTATGGTGGAGTGTGAGCTCCTAAAGGCCAGACATTTCTATTTCAATCATTTAATCTAATTTAATATTTTAAGTTAAAATATAATCACCATCATTTCCCCTTTTCTTTAGTCCCTCAAAACTCATTCGTATACTTTTCTTGCCCTGTTTCAAAATCATGGCTTCTTTTTTTTAAAATCAATTTTTGTTATATACATATGTGTGTATATATACATATATATTAATGCTTTTCTTATTGCTTTTATTTTAGTGCCTGGTACCTCTAAACATCACCAAATCATCCAAGGGTTTATATGAACTTAGAAATAAAGAAAATTATGACTAATGTGATCTTACTTGACTTCACAAAAACCAAAACATATATACAACTTATAGTGGGTTCCAACTTTAAACAGCTCAAATTTAAATAAACCACACAATAATGAAATGGACATTGTTCTACAATGAAGTCTGACTGAGTGTGGTTAGTGCACTTGCTTTCAAAGTTAGCACTTAGGATACAGATACAAGAGGATTTATGTGAGTTTGAGGCCAGCTTTGTCTTCACAGCAAGTTTCAGGCTATCTAGGACTAAACAGTGAGACATTACCCTAACCTCCCACCCACACAAAATCTTATCTTTAAATGATTTGGTTAATTTTTGTGGATCTATAGTTTGACAGATTTCCAAATTCAAAGTGAAGCTTCATACATGGTACATCTATTGACATATGCTGTGCTTTGGGCTTCCATTTATATGTGTATGCATAATAGAAGTCTGTTCTGTGTCGTTAATAAAACACAACTGAGTCTGGATTATAACAAATACCACAGGAATGTTCATCATTTTGGTGAGAGATTTAGGAAAACCCATTTGCTTCTCTTTACACCAAATCACTTATCAAAATCAATAGTTTCCTTTTCCCCACTTCAAGCTGAAAAAATGTATTGATTTACAAATATATAAGACTCCAAGACTCAAATATTAAATGAAAAGTTATTCATTCATATGGAAATATTTGAGAGTTATAGGAGGATATGGAATCCATAAAAGTGACTGAAAGCATATTTCTGATAAAAACTTAAAGATGTACTGTCAGACCATAAAAATTCCTACCAGTAAGCTATCACCAGAAACGTATTTTTTTTATTTTAACGATGCAAATAATATTCACTGGACACCACAAGGACCCACTGCCATTCTACCACCAAATTTTATTCTGAGTTTAAATTAGAGTGGAGAGAGACAGAGACAGAGATGGAGGAGTCAGAAAATATATAAATACTAGTTCAGTTTTCTAGGACACTCAAAGCTCAGGGAGAAAATGCATGTATGATGCTAAATTACCCAAGACCTAGGGCTTTCCCAAAGTAAAAACATGCCTCTAAGAATATTGGGCTGCTGGCCCCTACTCTGTGCCCAGGAGTATTTTAAATCCTAGCAGCAGAGTCTATCTCAAGCTCAGCTTCAAAAATGGATTGTCTTTCTGAGGGAGAAGGGCACGACAGCCACTGTCAGACTGCCCAGGTGTCCAAGTCATTATGAAGACATTTATTTGTCTGTCTAGACTTTCACAGAAAGTAGTGAAAACTCCCTGGGGAGAAACCCTCACAGGCATTGCTATTTTTGAACTTGTAAGAGAAAGACAAACATGGCATGTACTCACTCATATGCGGATTTTAGATATCGAGTAAAGGATTACCAGCCTCCAATCCACACTGCCAAAGAAGCTAATAAACAAGGAGGACCTTAAGAGAGACATACATGGTCCCCTGGATAATGGGAAAGGGTCCAGATATGCTGAGCAAAGTGGGAGCACGGGAAGAGGGGGGAGGGAGCTAGGAGAATAAGAGAAGAGAAGAGGAGGGATGCCGAGGACATGAGGGAGTAGAAAGGTTGAGTCAGGGGATGAATAGATGATAACAACAATGGAGATATCATAATAGAGGGAGACATTTTTGGTTTACAGAGAAATCAGGCACTAGGGAAATGTCTGGAGATCTACAAAGATGACACCAGCTAACAATCTAAGCAACAGAGGAGAGGCTACCTTAAATGCCCTTCCCTGATAATGAGACTGATGACTAACTTAGATGCCATCCCATAGCCTTCATCCAGCAGCTTGTGGAAGTAGAAGCAGACACCCACAACTAATCACCAAACTGAACTGAAACCCAAATTCAGAGAAGGACGAGTGAAGAGCACAGGGGTCCAGACCAGGCTGGTGAAACCCACAGAAACAGCTGAAGTGAACGTCGGGGAACTCTTGCTCGCCAGACTGATAGCTGGAATACCAGCATGGGACTGATCCAGTCCCAGGAACATGGGTTTCCCTCAGAAATCTAGGGACCTCCTGTAGAAGTTCAGTACTTATCCCTAGCATAGGTGTGGACTTTGGGAGCCCATTCCATACAGAGGAATACTCCCTGAGCCAAGACACATGGGGGTGGGCCTAGGCCCTATCCCAAAGGATACAATAGACTCTGATGACACCCTAAGGAAGGCCTCACCATCAAGGGGGAGCAGAAAGGATATGTGATAGATAGGGTTTTAGTTGGGGGGTGGTGGTGGGAGGGGAAGATGGGCGGGAGAAGGGACCTGGGATTGTCATGTAAAACAATCCTGTTTCTAATTCAAATAAAAAAAGTTGAAAAAAAAAAGAGAAGGAGAATGCTGGAGAATGTTTAAAAGGGAAAAAAAGACAATGCACCAATTTATGTTTTTCTCATTCCTGACATTGTCTAGAAGAAACTTTCACTTAGAAGCACATCAGTGCTATAAAATATTATCTTGAAAATATTATAAAAGTGACTTTGGAAAAGGAAATGCATAATATTGAGCTGAGGGGACTCATATCTAATAGAATGATCACTACATTCTATAAAAAAGAGTTGTCTTGCAACCAGCACTGTCCAAAGTTGAGGAGTGAATGCATAGATGGACCCTACCCGCTGTAGCAGCTAATGTGAGGTATAAGCTGAAGAAAATACATCTGAGGACAAGACAAAAAGGGCAGATGTGAAAAGTGCTGTGACCACTTCAAGAAGTCTTCCTAGAAATAGGATTTGATAAAATAAATATATGCATTTGGGAGGAGTTGATTTGAGAAATACAACTTAGAAAATGAACAATGAAACACTACAAGGAGAAAGAGGATACATTTTTCTAACGGCTGTCCCCCTAATTCCCATTTTATTTATAGATCAAACTTAATTAAGCTCAGGAAGATTAAACAGCAATTGGCAAAACTAAATTGCTTTCAATCAGACTGTTACAGTTCAAAAATAAAGAGAATGTTTAGGCATTCCTGCAACACAAATGCTAGAGCACTGTCATTCTCTCTCTTTTCCATACTATATCCAGAGAACCCACTGGGCTGGCAGGAGAGAGAAACAGAAACAGAGTCTAAGAGAGATAAAGAAAATGAAAGCATATATACATGAGTTATGTATATAGTACATGTGTGTGTGCTGTATATGCAAATATGTGTAACTATATCTGTGCCTGTGTAAGTGTGGGGAAGCCAGAGTACTACATGGGGGTCCTTACTCCTCTATCATGCTCCACTGTATTTCTTTGCATCACAGTCTCTCACTGAGGTTGGAGCTTGATGTTTTCGATTAAGCTAGTAGTCAGCAAGCCCTAAGACTTTCTCTTTTGGACCTGCCACACTTCTGGGGTTACAGAAGTACAGGAGACCAAATCTATCTTATTACATCAGTGCTGGTGTCCAACCTCAAGACTGCATGCTTGCACATCAAAGGCTCTTGATTCTAAGTCCACTCTCTGGGATCCCATTCTGTACTCTTAGAGAAAAAGCTGTGCTAAGTATTTCAGACAATCACAGATACCTGATTTAACAGTGCCCATGTAGAAGCTGGGTTTCTTGGTTGTTATTTTTGGTGTTTCAGAGCCCGCTTTGAACAATGTGTTAAGGAAACTTCAGGTTTGTTCTCATGAATGTGTTTGTTGACATGCCAGGGGTAACATGCTCCTTACAACCTCACTATTACCATAGTTTTTTTTTTTTTAATAAAAAAGTTTTTTATTCTTAGGAAATATTGTATACTTATACCATGCATTTTTATGATGGCCACGCACCACCACATTCTTCCGACTTCCTTAGTGCCCCTCCCCACTCTGTCTCTATACTAATTTCATGTCCTCTTCATTGAGCCTCACGTTTACAGCCCCAACTTCAGTTAGTGTTGGTCATACATACATGGGTTTAGGGAAATTCACTGGGGCACAGGCAACCTACCAGTGACCATAGTCCTACTCTTTCTCCTTCCATAGCCATCAACTATCAGTAGTTCCTCCACCAAGAATGGGCCTCAAGGGCCCCTTGCCGTAATGTAGCTTCTTGCAGAGTAATTCATAAGTTAGATCATAATTTTTCATGGAACTCTTAAAAGGATGCATGTGTGAGAGCATGCGTGTATGTGTGCATGCACACACACATACGCATAATGAAACAAAACATTAACTAGAAATATTAAACTCTATTGCCTTTAGACACCATGGTATTTTCTGTATTATGTTCATGTGTTAAAAACAAATGCTGGACCATCAAATGAGTTCCGGAACTAACAAGCTGGAACAACAGTTCAGGAAACAATAGCTAAAAGACCGTCATCAATTGTGTTTCTACACATTCCTTATTTTACTTTGAATGCTAATTTTGGTCCCCAGGGAAACAGCAGCAATAAAATACTAGAGAAAAAGAAAAGGAAAATAATGTTAACTCCACTCAAATATAATCCAATGGAGTTAGAATGTTAATTTGGGCAGATTCAAAGTTAAAAAGAAATTATGGACATATATACAGGTATATACATATGTATATACATACATATATATCAGTCACTGAATAGTCTTCAATCAAAATGAAGTATGACAAAAATCAGTATTTTCTATGCATGCTCAGTCTACATGGATTTATATCTTAG